CTGATAATTGTTTTATAATTCAGGCTTCAGGGAATGATATGTTGTGAAGCTTGTCAGACTCTACTCTTGAGGAACTTGATTTTAATGAACAACAAACTAATAATTGTTTTATGTTTCACAGCTCAGAAAATCGGAGCTGTCATGTGAAGTTGATCTACAAAAAGCCCCTCTGAGAGAAAGTGGAGCCAGAACTGCTCTTGAAGAGAATGTGAACAATGTAAAAAGAGATCAAGCTCAAATGGAAAAAGTACTGAAGAAGGAGCAAACAGAAAAAGACGCTATGAAGGCACATATGGCTGATTTTAAGAGGTCAGGGGAAAACAACCAGGATCACAAAGATCACCAGCTGGCTTCTGAGAACAAGAGGCTACAAAGTGAACTGGAGGATGCTGTACGTAAGATGCAATGTCTTCATGAGGCTGCCATCTCCCTGCAGTGTAAATTGGACCATCTTACCGAGGAAAATCACCAACTTGCTTATGAGAACAAGAGGGTACAAGACGAAATGGAGGATGTTCGAACTGACATGTGCCTTGCTCGTGAGGCTGCCATGAACCAGCATAAGGAAGACAGAGCTGAACTGGACAACCTGATGATACATAATGACCAAATTGCCTCTGAGAACAAGAGGCTACAAGGTGAACTGAAGGATGCTGTACGTGAGATGCAGGGTGCTCGTGAGGCTGCCATCTCCCAGCAGTGTAAACTGGACCATCTGATCCAGGAAAATCATCAACTTGCTTTCGAGAACAAGAGGGTACTGGAGGATGCTGCACGGCAGCACCAGGAAGACAGAAAAGCTTGCAGCAGACTTGCGGAACAAGCGAAGAAGGAGAAACCCCAGTTCTTGAGAGCATCTAAGAAAATAAAGATGCTAAAGAAAGCCCCAGTATCCGTAGAGACACTGATGTATGACATGGAAACACTTGAGATGGATAACAAGTATATCAGGGGAAAGTTAGAAGCCTTGGAGGTTCAGCTAGTGGTTCAAATGGAAAAAGGTCTCGCACAGCAGCATGAAGTCCTGGCAGAGAAAGATGATATCATCTTGAAGAATCAAGCCATCAATGCTAAGCTCAAACATAAAGTCTATGAGCTCAGAGAACAACTGTCGGAGAGCAAGATTAGACAGGTCCATCTTGAAAATGCCCTTAATCAGGAGAAGATACAAGAGGCTGTCTTGGAGGAGAGAAGTAAAAACATTGCCTCCGCTCTTGAAACAGAAAAGACGAGAACCATTCGTTTTGCCAATGCTCTTAAAAAAGAAAGGGCCACAAATAAGAAATACAGTGTTGAGCTCATGGAAGCCAAGATCAATATCGTAAAATTGCAGGAGCGGCAGCATTTGAGTCCATTCCTCCACACAGCTCAAAGCCACACTGTCAGCTGCAGCAACAGTCAAACTTCAGCTCCAGAAATAACAATGACATTGTGTTGAAGATGGATGAGACAACAAGTGCTATAGAAAACTTGCAAAAGATACAAAGAAACTTGTGTTCTTCTTTCCAGAAGATACTTCAACTCCCGACACCCACCCAAACAGCAGGTGTTGGTGGTCTAAGTCAAGTTGCACTTACATGTAGCACTTTGTATTTTTGGCTTTTTCTTTTATGTAATTTTAATTAAAAAAAAAAATTCTATTACCTTTTTTTTATTTACTTGACTTCCACACTCTGACTAACAACAACTGAATTTCCCATGTGTGGATCAATTAAGTTTTATCTTATCTTGAATTAATTCCAGAATCATCTGAAATACTTTGCTTTAAAAAACGTGTAACGTACAAGAGGCTCAGTCATATTCCACCCATTACAGCCACGTCTCACTGACTTTTAAACCTTTAAGATTGTTCAGGACCCAGCTCCTGATTATATTTTAGATCTTTTGAAACTGTATGAGCTTCGCTTGGGATCCTTGTTATGTATGAAGTTGATTTAACTCCCCGAACACCATTATGGCATGATGAAAGTGCATTCTCACTACTGATGAAGAAAACGTGACAATGAATTTAAACAATAAATCAAGGTCTGAATCCGGGTTATGAACTACCAAGAATATCATTGAAGTTAGAGAACAGATGGTTTGAAGCATCAATCAACAAATGATGTTCAAAATAAACAATTTGTTTGAAAGAATAGTCACAAATCTGCTTAAGAGCCTGAGCGGTATGGATTTTATTAGTC